TATTACATCCATATGGGCCAGAAAATAATGGGCCCCATATACCACCCATGTGCAATTGCATATGGGTACCATGTGAGAATCCCATATGCCACCCATGTACAAATGCATAAGGGTACCATGTGGGCCCCATATGGGTTCTCTGAAAGATGTTGGCCCCACATATGGCTTGGGTGCAGAATCCGGAGGGTGCCTTAAGGGATAGTCCATATCATACCCATGGGTTGGGAAATATAGGTTCCATATGGGCCCCAAATGGGTTATACCTGGGTTATGGGTTAAACCACATGGGCCCCACATGGGGCTTGGGTGCAGAATCTGGAGGTTTCCTCAAGGATAGCCCATATGTTACCCATATGGTTCGGGAAAATATAGGTCCCATATGGGAAACCCATATACCACCCATGTAAAAATGCATGTGGGTTCCATATGGGCCCCAAATGGGTTATATCTGGGCTATGGGCTAAATCAGATGGGCCCCACATGGACCTTGGGTGCAGAATCCGGAGGATTCCTCAAGGATAGCCCATATGTTACACATATGGGTCAGAAAATATAGGTCCCATATGGGAAACCTATATGCCACCCACATACAAATTAATGTGGGTTCCATGTGGGCCCTAAATGGGTTATATCTGAGCTATGTGGGCTAAATCATATGGATCCTACATGGAACTTGGGTGCAGAATCCGGAGGTTTCCTCAAGGATTGCACATATGGTACCCATATAGATCTACATATGGGCACCATATGGGTCCCTTATGGGCTTGTTACCTGGGTGTTTACTTTTGTTAGCGCAAGTTTTTCCAAGCCACTTCACTACCCATACAAAGATGATGACATATGGTTGATTACATGGACAGTTCCCAAAATCCAAAAGTGCTGTTTTTGATAAGAGGAGCCAACTTTGACGGGTCATTGCAAAAAAACCCCAAAAACGACAGAATTTTTTTATGGAGAACTTTTAATATAATATAGAAAATATATTCAGTTAATATATACTCTAAAAAAGTACACTCTGAATGCAGAATAGAATCCATGAAGGAAGCCTTTTGAGTCACAGCTTGTGGCCCTTGGCATATAGTATGGCATAGTGACCAAAATATATATGGTAAGAGATTTAAATATTGACCAACATTCCAAGCCTATTTCATTTCATTTCATTTATTTATTTGACACCCCTAGGATAGGCTATGAGATTCTAGCTAGGTAGTATAGTAGGGAACCTTATGTCAACAAAATGGGTTCTGTCAAAACCCACCATGTAGGTACATCCCCTTGTATCCCTATGGCATCCCCTTATACTAGCCTTAAGCAATAGACCCTTGTGTTATCAATGTCACAATATAATAGCCTATTATACAACAATACATAATGGGTAATCATTTGAGGGAGGGGGTGGGTCAACTTGACTCGCCAGGCCTGGTATTGTATGTAGTGTACTAGAAGCCCCCGTGCAGGCGATTCAGCCATTTGGCATATGGTTCCAAACTATACCTATCTATTATAGTACTAGACCTAGCTACCTAGCATGAATCCCACCTAGCCTATCCTAGGGGTGATTATCCTAGCCTAGGCCTGGTATATGGGGTCAAGCTCATACTGGTCAATATTCAGATGAATTCGATCCAACTCGGCCACAAGTCAACTCGGCCACAGTCAACTCGGCCACAAGTTAACTCGGTCACAAGTCAACTCGGCCACAAAAAGTTTGGCTACAGTCAACTCGGCCACAAGTCAACTCGGCCACAAGTTATCTCGGCCACAAATCAACTCGGCCACAAGTCAACTCGGCCACGAGTCATTTACTGGTACTACATTGTACTAATTATTATTATTGCTGTTATTATTGTTGTCATTGTTGTTATTATTATTGTTGTTTTTATTACCGTTAGTTTTAATATTAATTATTAGTCTTAGCATTAAC